CGGGCACTATTTTCATTATGCAAATTTATGTTAAATGAATTAAGTTCTGCAAAAGAAACCGATGTCAAATGAAAAAATAATTTTTTAAATTTAAGGAAACATATTTTTATTATAATATCGGACATATTTACTCCGAATCACTACAAAATTTAATATTTGTATTTCGAACGAAAAAGTCACAGACCGGTGTGCCCTAGAGGGAGAGCAACAGTTTCATAACAAAAAACAAATACAATAAAATGTTCAAGGATAACGAAAAAGGTTTTCCGCGTGTGGTTTTAGGGCAAAGGCAGGATTTAGCTTCCTTTAAAGTTACAAAACAAAAAAAAAATAACAATTTATCCCAAAGCAATAAAATTCTGCACACAGTTACGCGGGTCTATTATTCAAAAAAGGACGTGGTATGTGTTAACTACAAGCGAACAATTTCACTTATAAAATTGTTTTGTAACCAGGGAAAATGTTTGGTGTGTACTATATATCACATTCGAAGCTGTTAAACGTAAAAATAACTCACAAAAGTCGAGAAATGATTGAATTTCCGAGAACAATCTTAATTAGAAATAGCCAGGTTACACTACTCACACATTGCAGGTATGAAGTACTGATGAGAAGTAACAAATTTTACTACTCTTACTTTTAATAGTCAATTTCAAATAATGTCCTTGAACAAATAATCTGAACAAATTGCGCACACGTTAATTTACTATCCTGTTGATATGCATACGTTATGCTGAAACCCGTCCTATGTGTATTCATAAATTGAAACAAAACCAACAAAAAAAAAATTAAAAACTACCACTTTTAATAGTACGAGAAGTAAAAGTCGGGAACTCTTAGCAGTGCAATTGAAAGCTGTATAAACACTGCATTTGGCGCGCTTTTCTAATATCGAAGGGATAAAGATTAAAAAAAGTTCATTGACACATGTATAACGCGCGCTCTCACCCCACTATGATTTGGCACATCACAACGCCTAATTTTTTTTATTATTTTCATTTATTTTATAATTACTTTTTTCCCTCTATAATTATGTATTTATTAAGAAAAAAATTGGGTTGACAATAAAAAAATTAAATATGTATCAGTGCTGTCAATCTCTTATTACTTTAAAGCACAGCAGTACTAGATCTCTGCGATATGGTTGATATAATTTCGAACACTGCTTCCTTCAAATAATTTTTTGTTAAAAAATATTAATGTATAAAAAAACAGTTTATTTATTAAATACTTTATGATGGCAACTCAAAAGTTTACGTATAAAATTAACATTTTATTTCTATTTAAAATAGATACTTGAAATATAGACGCAATGATATCACAAACACTACAAAAATTTAAGCACTCAACTTATCAAGGACGAAATAATAAACATAAGTAGATGATTTCAGTCAAATCCAGCAGAATAGTCAAACAATGAAATGAATTTATTGGCACAAAAAAACTAACAAGAATAAGACAACCATAAAAGGATGTTTCTTGGTGACTGGATATAAAAATATACCAGGAAAATTAACACAACATTAAAAAATATATTGACTAAAAATGTCAACTTTTATACTAAAGTTAATATATTATGCAGTATGTTAAGTGATCCTGATCAGTTAATTATATTTGATCCTTGTGCAAGTTTTTAAAATGTTGATAATAATAATATTAAGAATAATACTAAACAATAAATTAATATGGAATAATAGCCGTGAATGAATATTAAAAGAGCGATGGTTACCATTTTTATCTTATATATTTAAACTAATTTATTTATTCACAATAGACTGATTTTTGAATCTGGCTGCATTGAAACTTAAGGTGCACAATTTTTTGCGAGTAAACTTAACTCTGAAGATTTTAAGAGCTTTGTTGTTGCTTCACATGATTTTTTTCGTAAGTTGCGAATATATTTTTACTACTCTGAAAAAAAAAATTATGGCTAATATAAACGCAACAATTTTAAACAGAAAAACTCCATTTAAAGGATTTCTCCATTGACATAGAGAATGCGATAAAGGTGTAGTTTATGTTTAAAAATACCCATAAATCAATCAACTTAACTGATAAATAAAGTTATAATAGCTCCTAGGAGCAATATTTTATATAATTAAAAAAAATTGAATAATACAAAGGGTAAACCTTCAAAAACACTTTATAAAGCAGCATTAATTTTATCAGCAGGCACGTTATTAGAGGCAAGCGCCGAATTCTCCCCGAATCAAATCGAAGAACTATATTTATTATGTACATTTATATTTATTATTATTTTATTTATTATTTATTATTATTTATATTTATATTTATAATTAATGCATAATGACAGCTTAAATATTTTTTTTAAAATTACTAAATCACCTGAAGCCTAAACCATCCCCACCTCTTATATAAATTCCTGCGTATAAGTTTACATCAGAGATATAAATTTTATTTACAAGACATAAATAAACTATAACAGTTTAAGAAAAGGACACTAAAAATCTCTTTTAATCAAAGTCTATTATTAAGTCTATTATTAAAATATAAAATATTAGTCATTGGAATTTAATAACATTAATAATTATTGAATTTGTCGTTCTTTATTTACGTCTATAAATAGACGAAATATAAAGATTCTATATAAATATTATTTAATTTAGTTGGTTAATAATTATATTGAATTTATAGATTAATTGGAATTTATAGGCTAATTGATATAAAGGCTTTTTCAAATTAATATAACTTATTCATGTTAATGATAAAGAGAGATAAATTTCACGATTAAAATCAATCTGAACTAAATTGATCAACTGATAAATTATTAAATAGAATATATATATCTAATTGTATTTAAAGGGACCCGACACCTATTTTAATTATTTTAACACGAAGTAAAAGATTCAATAATGCTTTTTCATTGTGTTTGATCCGTTTACTGTAAGTTATTTAAACAACAAAATTATACTAAAAAAAACAATATTAAGATTTCTCCTACAGAGGTCAAAGTAGCAATAAAACAACAATACCTAAAGATAGAATTATAGCATCGCTGTCAAGAGAAGAATAATTGTTATTAGGTTATGTTTGGGGTGGCCATAACCCACGAATACACCTAATAGACTCTGACTATGTCAGATTGAGCTAAACCTTATGTAGATTTGTAGTAGGTATCTAAGATTTGTAGTGATTCTAAGGAATGCCTGAAGCTCCATTCTTGAAACATTTTTTAGCATGAATAAATGTTTTGTAATAAATAAAAGAAACCAAAAACAAAAAAAAATTTATTGTAGCATCATATTTTTAAATGTCATTTTTAAATATCATATATTAATATGATCATATATATAAAATATATTTTATAAATACAAATTTTCATCATTTTGTATGCATAACTTTATTTTATAGAACTTAAAAGCGTTGCATACATTGCTTAGATGTCTTATAAGAATGATTTTTTTTATATTATATAACAATTTACCAACACAATAAGAACAATCGAATAATATTATATGTATGTTGTATATGAAAATAAAGTTTGCATTTATATATTTATATATGTTTATATACAAAGTAATCTGTTTTTAAATTAGAATTGTTTAAATAATATTAATGTTTGATACTAACATAATTTAATAAAATCAATAAAATTAACTCTTTTATATTCCGAAAAAAAAAAATAGATTGTATGTTGCACAAATATACAGAAAGCATGTTAACTTTAAGTAACTTTTAGATAAAGATAAAGAAATTCGTATATTAAATAGGTGTAGAACGCATAAAGTTTGTATTAAATTAGATATTACAAAATGTATTAGGTCCAGCCATTATTGGTTCATATTAATAGTTATAGGGAGCATTTAAATTTCTCCGAAATAAAGTTACAGATAATAAGAGTGCAGTTTAAGCGATAGAACAGTTTTTTAATTTTTGAAACACTTCAACATTTATGTATAGTAAATTTGTTCTGCGGAGAAGTGACTGTTCTCACAATTCTCTATATGTAATTTTAATATCACATTAACATATAGTTAAATGTCCAAGGCTGTGCGCAGATCGTTCATTGCAAAAACATCAATCGATAATTCTGTGAATAATACTGCATGCTGCAGGTTTATATCTGATACAATTATACATAAACTATAAAACTATATATAACGCCATTACTAGATAACATTAATAAAACAAAACATCTTCAAAGACATTACAGTTTAGTTTTGTTATAGTTGTAATAATATAATATTTAAAATACACAACAATTGTGAATGTTACAATAGTATGTTAATGTAAATACATCAATTCTCAATTTGCTATATTGTATCCAATTTACTGAATGTCTGCTGATAGATTGTAAATAAATTAATATTAAACTTATATATATAAAAAAGATATAAAATATATATATAAATAAAAAAGTTACTGAATGTCTGCTGATAGATTGTAAATAAATTAATATTAAACTTATATATATAAAAACAGAAAATTTTTCAAATAACATCAATCTGATAAATAATTTTGGAAAAATCAAGTTTTTTATTGTATATATTACCTATCTTAATATAAAACATCCCAGACTTGCTTTAATTAATGCCAATATATAAAATAGTATAAATAGTATGAATTAAAAGCGTTGTGCGTGAAATTTTTTTATATTCAAATAAATTTTTTTTTGTGAAATTATTGGATTCGAAAAATATATAATAATTAGAACAATGGTATTAAATTAAAGGTATCACAAATTTAAAAACGCTATTCAACAAATCAAACAAAATATAACGATCGCTAGAAATGTGACCTATCATTTTTGTTCACGGACCAAAATTTTTATTCTGTTTATGTTTAAAACCTTTGTTTAATATTTAGAAATTTCTAATGAAATGAAAATGTGTAGAATATATTTATATATTGGCGAAAAACAGGACAAATATAATTCTTGTCAATATAATATGCAATTCATTTTAATCTGATTTGCAGAATAAAGATATTCGCAAAAATGCAATATCTTTAATAAAGTTGAAAATATTAGTTATTGCGATGAATTGGTTTCCAACATAGTTATACATATTCCATCCGAATAGAATTCTATTTATTGGTTTGAAGACGAAACAGGCAATTCCAGCCCAAAAATTATTATGAAATGCTTCTCAAACCTACAAAAACAATAAAATATCATTTATAGATGTTATTTATTGGTCATTATCAGTGTTTGGATTAGGCAATTACTAAAGTGTAATAACGTATAACACAAGATACAAGAAAACAATACAAGAAAACAAAATTGATATTATATCAAACTTAAAACTTTTTGGAAAAAAAATTAATAACTTAATGATTACAATTTTATAATGCTAAATCGAAATTTAATAATAATATATAGTCATATACTTACAAAAATCGATTAAATCACAAATTAGTAATATCGTTTTTTTTTTGAAAGTAATATTTTTAAATTTTTCTTAAGTAACTTACAACAACTAAAAGAACTCAATAAAAATTCTTTAAAATTCACATTTTTTTGATGTTAAGTATTTTATTTTTTTAATTCTGTAAAACTTGAATTTTTAGTTAAGTATTTTTGTAATTCACTCTGGTAAATATATTATTAAATAATATATATATAAGAAAATATAATAATGTATATATATTATATATTTATAATATATATATTTTTGTTATATTTATATATTATTAAATTAATATAAATTAACTCACTCTTTTTGAACTTTTTTCGATTTCTTTTTCAAAGTCCGTTTGCTGTAATGGTGTTAAAGTAACACTTACATCCTTTATAATATCTCGAAACGAACTAAAGATATATCATATTTATAATAAATCATCAAAATCAATAATAAATATATAATTACCTATTGATATCATCATGAAGAGAATTTAATTTTGAATCACTCTTGCGCTTTTTTGCTGCTGTATTGCTGCTCGAACTTTTTGTAGTAGTCGGTATTGCACCACTACTTGCAGTTGATTGATTCGATCCATCCATACTGATACTACCATAACTTGTTGTGTAAGCATTGGATGGTTGTATATCATTAGAGAAAGTATTACCAGCACTTGATGATATTTTAGCAGTATCTTTTGTGTTATTACTGCCACTGCCACTAGATGTTACTCCAAATGTATTTATATTTGAATTCTGACCAGTTGCAGAAGAAGACGTATTTGCAGAACTACTCTGTTCATTGGAATTCAAATTAGTTGTACCTGTTGTGACAGCCATCGCAGTCATTGAAGTATTATTTGCATCTTTGTTTTTTGATGATTTAGATGATTTATCACGCGAATCACGAGTTGATAATGATACTGATGCGCTATCCTTGTCTTTGCTTGAATTTGACAATTTACTTTGATTTTTGCTATGCTTATCTTTCTCTTTATAGTTGCTCGAACTGCTAGATGAACTGCGCACAATAGAAGTGGAATTGGTGGCAACACTACTGCCAACTGGATTTCCAGTAGCTGTAGCAGTATTATTAGTTGAACTATTGTTGGTATTATTGTTACTCATGGTATTAGAATTATTATTATTAGTTGTTGAATGCAAACTTTGCATACCGTTAGGGTTATTGCCATTATTATTTGTTACCGAAACCGTGTTATTTGTAGTTGATGACGAGCCAGATTTATTTGAAATAGTTGTGGTCTTACGTTGTTTAGTCGAAATTGATGCCGATGAAGTATTTGTATTTGTAGTGATTTTTATGCTGGTAGTTGACGTAGAAGATGCTGTAGCATTAACTTCTGCGTCAATTTCTTTTTCAGGCGAGGATGAATCATTATCATGCGTAATTGGTTTATATGGTGGTATTGTTTTAACGTTGCCGCCTTTTTTCTATAGAAAAATATAGAGCAGAAAAAATTAAAAGTGTAAGTTTGTAATAAAAAGTAATACATAATATCATACATTGTCGCCTATTTTCTATAAAAATGAAGAAAAAGTAAAATTAGCTCAAATAAAAAAGTTGAAAATCTTAAATTTTAAATAAAATTACTAACCAATTTACTGTAATGATGTTGACAATAACCACAATATTTTACGTTGTCCAAATAATTGCCAGCTTCTTCGCATAATAGACCTAAGCTTTGAGCGCAGGTAACATGGAATTGCTGTTTACAATTAGTTTTGTTGCACTGCATGCAAGCTCCAAACGTAGCACGAGCGGGTTTGCCAAGTTCTTGACAAATGTAGCATGCTAATAAAAAAATAATTTATTTTAGTTAAAAGCTTAATATTTATATAAATGTACAAACTTTTTGTATAGCGCTCCTGAGGTATAAGTTGCAATATAATGGGTTCCATGGTAGTTACATTACCAAAACGTACTTCCGGTATATACAAAGCACAAACGACATGTGCCCAACCCTGATTATCAGTTTTCTTTAAGGCGCCATTTCGTGAAGGACACAATTCGCAACGTACACGAGCAGGACGTTCATGACTTTCACATTTACGACAATACCAAGGCCCAGTGGGCACTGTAACTATACCATAACAAGCTTGATGTACAGCAACTGTACAATTCTGACCATCACAATATACGAGTGGATTTTCTGGCCAACCACGCTCATCTGAACAAACACAACATCCACCGACCATTTCTTTTGGATTGACCGCTTTCATAATGATTTTTAATTATTTGTTTTTAATTATTTTAGCGATTCATAACATAAAATAATTGATTAATTGTTATTAAAGTCAATCTGAAAAGATAAAACGTATTACTAAAATTAATTTATATATAATAAAAAAATATTTAGTTTATTTTTTTTTTTATTTTGTTTGTTAAGATGTGTAAATGTAAATCTTAAAGATTTAAAGGTTAAAGGATTTCTCTACAAACTATATATAGAAATTATGATGATAATTTTTAGAAACAATTTAAAGAATTATACCAGATTCGTATTTACTTAAGAAGTGTTTATACAAAATGGGCAGATAAACCCTTCCGTCAGATCTCAAATTCGACCTGGACCTGGCATACTAGGAAGACATGCTATCAGACAGGGTCTACCCTATAATGACTTTTGTCGTGGGTGCGACTCTACGGTTGAGATAGAAATTATACTCTACCCATTGGCGTACACAGGTAGGGGATTTCAAAATGATTTCAAAATGTTATTATTGTTTTGAATAAAAATTTAATACTGTTTACAAGAAAAGTATCAGAGTCTCCCCCTTAATTTCGGCCATGGGTATGCCCATGACTCCACCTGATGTACCAGTGTCCATCATCGGCTAGAAGAAGATTTTAAATTTTTAACGCCTCTTTTCTTACCGACCTGACAGAACTGTCATCCTGCAAACTCAGGAATTTGGCGAAGTTAATAGACTTGTCAGGTTGGTTCACTTTCATGTGAATAAGAGAATCGTTCCTTTCATCGTTGGTTGTATGCCACTAATCTCCATACCAACAGCGTTAATCTATGATATCACAACGGGCCATTATTTGAAATCAAATGGGATTTGGGTATAAGGCCACCACTCCAACCTAATCTCATTGTCGTTATATATTAAGAAAAAAAAGCTTAAGACAATTTGCTCCGAAAACGATCAGAGTCTGTCGCCAGCGCTCTCAAAATGCTACGTACATTATATTAGTTCTCATTAGAAAATGCTGCAAACCCAATTTATTAAATTTATAATTATTGTAGTTTCATAAATAATGAACGCTTATAAATTCCATATATAATAGCTTGATCCCTAATAACTTGAATATTATTGCAGATTTTATAGTGATTGACAAAGTTCAAAGACTTGTTACAAACTCTATCAATTATAAAAACTATCAGAAACATAACAATTATTAAACTAAAGTTTTGTGGATATATTATCTTAATTTCATATAAAAATGAAACTTTTTTTTAACAAGCTAACTGGTTACACATACTTAACAAACTTGACTCAAAATCAGGAAAGAAATTATCAATTATTTTGTTTTCCAGACAATGCAATGACTTGGAAGTAACTACGTCTTAGTCTCTAGAATATTTTATTTAAATTGTGATGCGATGGACAACGGTAAAGTGTATATAAAACACTTTTATCATATTCCTCAGCTCTGCAGTAAGACAATATTTAATATTTAGTCAGTAAATCCACCATAAACTGATATCGCTAAATTATTTATATTTTAAATGATCTGACATGTATTCATATGTTTGCATATTGTTAATCCCTCACATTTTGTTTGTAAATTTTTAGCAATCATTTGAAAGATAATGGCGGTAAGCTCTAATTTATGGGATATAAATTAGAACATATTTTAAAGACATACTAACTGACAAAATAATCTGTTTACAGCCACCTCTTATATCCTGTGACCCGTTCCCCTGCGCAATGTGGGTAAGAAATTATCCGCGGTTAGGATTGCCAGTCGTAAGAGGCGACTAAAATCCCCCAGTGCCAGTCTGACACTTATATAGGAAGTGTAAATTGTTGTGAGTTGAGTCGGCAACTTATGACATCTGTCCAGAGATGATTCGATCTGGTACTACGGGGTCAGTGGCCCGCATTTTCGGCTGTACTGACCATTGGTGTTGGCCTCGTAGTGGTTTTGGTTAAAACCCAAACGTACGCGGGAAGTATGATTTGATTGTCATTTATTCGGCGTGGAGTGGGTTTCATACCGGGTGCTACAGCCCAAATTGTAGCAGAGATTTTAGGTAGGCCTCGCATCTCACCAAGGTGGAAGTTATGACTTACATGAATTTCTTCATTGGTACCGGCGGAATAAGGCAGGCTATTCCAATGGGGCGTTGATTGACGCTTATATTAATACGTGTGTTAAGAGCACCGTGATGTTTAGCCATCAAGGCAGAGAATCACGTAAAACAATTTGAGACTTCTTCTGTGACCCGGAACCTAGAGAAGTGAAACGTAGAACAACACGTTAAGTGATACATAGCCGTTCTGGATATAATTTGGCTAAATTCAAACACTTCACCACCCCATTGTCTTCTTCATAGCAAGAACTTACGCTGGAGAGATCCCTACTAACAATTAAAAACAATAATTTTAATTAAACTTAACAATGTTGAACAGTTTTTCTGTTTTGTTAGGTAATACTATTATTGTCCTATATTTCATTTCGAAGATAATTGTAGTCTCTTCTATACTAAGGAATTATTAATATTTTCTGAATTAGTAATATATCTTAGAAATAAAATAAAACAAGTCATTTTATAAAAACATTATTTTCTTCCAAAATATTGTATACAATTTCAATCAAACTGTTATAGGAACTGATCGATTTTTACAATATCATCAATTACCAGATTATAATTTACTCTGAAGTAAAAAAAGGTGAACGACCTCCAAAATGTATAAATACCCACATACAATATTTAGATTTTGAAATTTCTCAAAAAATTCCAATTGGATGAGAGAGCATGAAATGAGAGTATGATATTTTCTCACTAATTTGTATTTTCAGTTTTAATTAGAAAGCAACAACAATAAGAAATCAGAAAAAGCACACAAGCAACAACAACAACGGCAAGAAGAAGAAAAGCAACATGTAAACAATAAATTTTTCACGTGCCTCAACACTTTTTTCACAAAGAAAACACAGCGGAAAGTAGGAAAAAAAAAAACACTGCATGGATTACATTTATAGTTTATATATATTTATTGTTTATTTGATTTAATTAAATACATTTTTATGCAAATGTAATAAATGTAACAAATTTAATAATACGTGTATACACTCACATTTAGCCTTCTAATGAGGTCAAAAACTATTTAACAATAAATAAAAAAATGTGTTACCATCGCAACCGTTTGCAAAAATATTGCATGCAAAGCATTTGTTTAATGAGGCCAAGCCGCATAAATGAGCTCAAGCAGTTGCGACTTGTTTTTGTTGTTGTTCCTATTGCATTTTTTCATCGTGAAATATACTATTTAAAAATGGGACATAAGGTTGCCACTTGGATTTATAATAATTGGTTTATAAGTATTTTTAAATCTTATTCTACATACATATATTTGAATATAATATTAATTTTTTCTACCGCTATACCGTTTTATTTAAATAAAATATTAATTATGTTTGCCAAAATATTTGTAATTTTGTAAATGAAGTCATATTAACCGACTTTACGTTTCAGAACCACTATCTATCTGTATAGATGACCAAATGCTGCGCTCATT